CTATCCCTCACTCCTCGCTAACCCTCCCCCTAGCGTCTGGCCGACGTCCGCCGGCGAGACGCAGCGGCTGGTCACGCTGAAAAGGTGGACCTTCTGACTCTTGGCAGCGGCACTGTTCGTAGTATCGCAGCGAAGGCTGTGCACCTCGTAGATGAAGAGACCGCCAGCAGCCCACGTGCGCTCGCGATGGCGCGAGTGCCAATCTTGAGATCTACCAAAGATGTTGTTGCCCAGCATCCGCTCCCAGCGAACAGCGCAATGCCGCGTGACTGCGATGTCCATGATCAGCACCAGAACGGACGACCCAGAATGGCGCATGCTTCCCGGAGGGCCAGCTAGTATCCTCCCGAGATGGTCATGCGACCGCCCATGGCGTCTGCCTTTCGCCTCCTGGGGACCTTGTTCCCGCCCGCGGCCTCCTGGGCTGCAGCCCTTGCCAGCCTGAGGCTCTGCTATGCCGCCAGCGCCCTAGTTCGCCACCTCTGCGCTTTGCCCTTCTCGCGGGCCAGGGCACGATTCGTCTGTCCAAATCGTGGGTTAGTAGCCGTCCTGCCGACGTGGACAGGGACAATCGCTCCGGCACGGGCGCCGTGCCGCGGCTGCTCTGCGCCGCCGCGCTGCGGCTCGACTGGCACAACGGCGCCTCCACCATCGCCGGCGCCTCGGGGCTCGGGCTCAGGGCGGCGGAGACCCCGAATGATCGCAGCAACCCTCTCTTCGAAGTGGGCAAGGCGGTCGGCGGCCAGCGCGAGGCCCATGCGCTGGCTGGCGTCGCGCAAAACGCTGAAGCTTCGGGCAGCACCAGGAGGATGGGCATCAACAGCGAAATCCACGGCAACTGCCGCGAGTCGACGCAGCTCTGTCCCCTCGCGCCCAGCATCTGCGCCGTGGCCTGAAGCCAACAACGCGTTGCACAGAACACAAAGGGCGCGACGGGAAGGGAACACCGCTGCGCCTTCATCCGCGAACGTTGTACTCTGAGCAATTCCTCGTGCGAGTGGTATGGGTACGTCCATTCGAGCCAACATGGCTACATATTGCTGCCATCGCCTCTTAGAATCTCGGGTATCCCTGAGCCCAAGGGCATTTCAGGTGCGTCGGGGAAATGTGTCAAGTCAACGTCGTCGTATACAGTATATATCATGTTGATCCTCCTCCTCCTCCTCAGCATCTCACTCATGCACCTCGTCCTTTGCTCATGTCCCTGGAGTGGCGAGCTGTCAAACTGATAGCGGCAATAGCGCGCACTCCCAGGCAGCTCGGAGAAAAAAACAGGAAGAGTGAGGGGAGAAGGGAGGAGGAAAGGAGTGACGGGGGGAAGGGAGGGGGGAAGGTTCGGCATCCGAACATACAAGCCCACCCGTATGGAATGGTGCGACCACCGTTCGTGCGGGCTGGGTGCTGGGCCCGCATGCGCATCGAGAATTATTGCCTTCGCCGTTGGCTCTTCCCCCCTCTCCCGCCCGCTGGCGCCTGCGCGGCAGCGGCGTGTTAGAATGCTGCAGGGTTCCTGCTTTGGTATATCACCTTATTTTTCACTCTGGGGGTTAGCATGTTTCTGCAACATGTGACGTTTGATGGACATGCAATGATGCAGTGTGCAACGTCTCCGGGTAATTGTACATAGCACTCAACTTCACAACTGGGCGTCGCATATTTCTACGGCTGGTGACGTTTGTGCGCACGCTGTAATGCAAGTTGTGCGCGTGATCCCGTCCGCCGCACAGTCAATATGCCACATAATCTGTCGTTGCGGCATATACAGAACAGTGCTGAATTGCGAGGGGAGGCAAGCTGTATTTAGGTACATGTTGAAAAGCGTGCCATCACGTTTTCGCTGATTGAACGTCCCAGGTATTCTTTGGAACTGCGACAAGGTGAATTTCAAAACTCGAGCTGGTACCACTCTACCCGGCGAGTTACCACGCACCCAGTCCACAGGCCAGTTGACGATTGTTGGTAGTTAGATTTTGCTGGGCGTACCATATCGGTCAGATTTTGGGTCCAACGTCATGTTCTCAACCGCGTTGCATCCGTAGCCGCTTTGGCTCCAGTGGCGCGCTTTCAGAGAGCGCCATGGCGTCAGTCGCAGCACAGCAGCGCAAGCGCGATGCTGTCAAGTATCTTCGGACCCTGGCGGGCGAGGTCGAGGTTGAGGCTCATAGTCGCAAGTTGGCTGTGCCCCGGAACGTGGATGAGAGGATCCGTGAGGTGGGGCGGGCCTTGGTGGCTTGCCGGAATTTTGAAACACGCGCCGGTTTTGACACATATCGAGCATCCCATCTCCCTGGACTGAGTCAGACTGGAGACGCCTTGCTCCTACAATTGAAAGCCAATACTAACGCACCGACGTCCAAGACGACGACGGCGACGACAGAAGACGACGGACGACGACGAGGACGACGACGACGACGACCGTCGGACCGACTCGGGACGACGACCCACGAACGACCACCAGCGACAACGACGAACCACGGCGACGGCCGATTAACAACGACGACGACGTCTGGGGGGTCGAGTCGGGGTCCGTCTGGGGCGCTGGGGAGTGTTCAATCGCGGGCACATTCTGGTACATTTGGGGTTTTCTTCGCGGTTCATTTGGGGTTCGCTCAGGTTCATTCGGCCCAACTGGTGGTCTCAAACCATAGGTCTGTGCAGGATTCGGAGCCCAATGTGGCACATTCGCCTGCAACCGATCCTTCCTTGTATATTACTAGAAGCGGAACCCCGTCTCCAGTGTGGGGGGGGGACAGGGGGCACGTCCTCGACGCGCTCCCTTCTAGAATTTTGACCTGGCCCGCGCGTTCTAGAATTTGACCTCGGCCGGTCGCGGTTGGCATTCTAAGTTTGGCCTTCTAGAATTTGAAGACGGCGTCCGTCGTTGTTGTCGGTCGTCGTCGTCGGTCGGTCCGTCTGTCGTTGTCTTCGTTGTCGTTGCCGACGCTATTGGTCGGTCGGTCTGCCGTCGTCGTCCGTCTGTCGTCGCCGTCGGTCGCCGTCCTCGTCGTTTGGTTGTCGTTGGTCGGGCGGTCGGCCGGTCGGTCGGTCGGTGGGCGTTGCCGTCGTCGTTGTCTGTCGGTCGTCGCCGTCGGTCGACGTCGTCGTCGTCGTCGTCGATCGCTCGGTCGGTCAGTCGGTCGGTCGGACGTCGTCGTCGTCGATCGCTCGCTCGGTCGTCGTCGTCGATCGCTCGCTCGGTCGGTCGTCGTCGTCGTCGGGCGCACGGTCGCTCGGCCGCTGGGTAGCTCGGTCATTCGTTCGGTCGGTCGGTCGTTCGCCACCGTCGTTGTCATTCGTCGGTCGTCGCCGTCTGTCGTTGTCCCGTCGTTCGGTCGGCTGGCCGGTAGGTCGGTCGGGCGGATTTCACGGCTGTCGCATGAGTGGGCCGCTAGAGCGAGCCAAGCCTCCACTAATTATAATCACTCGACGGACACCCCTCGTCAAACTTCTCACTAGCAAATCCCACCAGCCCTCTGGGCGCAGGTGGTTTAAAGCGTTTCCTCTTCCACCCCCTTCTTGCACTTCGGGGAGGGGTTTGCCCCTCCCCCTACGCCCTCCCCTGGACATGGACGGGGGGGTTCGCGAGGGGTTGGAGCGTCCAAGATGGCCTCGGCGAGGAACCCCATTACTAGGGTTTGGGCCTCATTTTGGCCTCTCCGAGGGGGGGGGGGGGGGGAAATTGAGACCCCTTCTTTGATCGATCTCCTCCAAGGTGGCCCCAAGAGGCGCCCAGGAGGCCCCAAGAGGCCCCAAGATGGCCCCAACATGGTCCAATGCGCATGTGGCCCCAGGAGGCCCCCAAGAGGCCCCTAGGATGCCCCCAAGAGGCCCCCAAGAGACCCCAAAAGGCCCTAAGAGGCCCCCCAGAGGCACCCAAGACGCTCCAAGAGGCCTTGGCGAGAATGCCAACATCATTGATTTTAGTAAGGTTTTGGCCACAGTTTGGCCTCCTGGGGAGGGGCACTGCTTCAGATGACTCCAAGAGCGCCTGGGAGAGAGAGAGAGAGAGAGCCCAAGATGACCTCCACGATGGCTCAAGATATCCCAAGATGCCTCAAGATGGCTCCCACGATGCTCCAAGAGGCCCCAAGACCGCTCCAAGATGGCTCCAAGTGGCCAAGGAGCTCCCCCAGGAGGCCGCGCAGAGGCCCAAATCCTTCCAAAACCTAAGCAAGATCAATGTTTTGGGCTTTCTCGCCTTTTCGCTTCCGATGGCCATCCGAGGCTTCAAGATGGTTTCAAGATGGCCCAAGAGGGCTCCAAGATCGCTCCCAAGGCTCCCAAGAACGCGTCCAAAGGGCCCCAAGATGCGCCCAGGAGGCCCCGGGAGGCCCTGACAGGCGCCCCAGAGGCCTCCAAGAGGCCCCCAAGAAACCCCCAAGAGGCCCCAAGAAGCTCTCGGAGGTACCCAAAACGCTCTAAGAGGCGTCCGGGACCGCCAAGGGCCCCCCCAAGACGCTCCAAGAGGCCTCCACTGGGGGGCCCTTCCTCTGTGTGCTGCCCACTTCCCTGATCGAGGCACTTCCTGTGGGCATCGTTTCTGGATGGGCTGGTGGGGTTACTTTTTTGGTCGGCGGCCGCGCGACAACGGTCTGGCGGCAACATGCGATGTCCGGGACGGCGGTACAAAACTAATTGCACACGAAGCGTGCGGTGCACGCGCAATGAGCAAAATGCTCCACATTCGCAAGCAGTCGCACCTGGCGGCGGCGGGCAGCGGCGGCGGCGGCGGCGGCGGCGGCGGCGGCGGAGGCGGCGGCGGCGGCGGCGGATTGGCCCCTAGTAGCTGCCCATCCAAACACGACTGCTGAATACGCTGAGGCTCGGGCCAGACTCGGGTGCTACGTATGTGTTGGGAGGGCGGGTGGGAGTGAGCGAGACGGCTTGCGGGCGGGGAGGGGGTCTTGACCCCTCCCCCTCCCCCCTCCCCATGGACATGGACAGGGGGTTTCGCGAGTCGTCGGAGCGTCCAAAAAGGCCTCGGCGAGGAAGCCAAAATCATTGTTGTTACTATGATTTTGGCCCCATTTTGGCCTCCTGGGGGGGGGGCGCTAATTAGTGCTCCCCTCTTGTTTGATCGATCTCATCTAAGATGGCCCCAAGAAGCGCCCAGGAGGCCCCAAGAGGTCCCAAGATGGCCCCAAGATGGCCCCGAGAGGCCCCCAAGAGGCCCCCAGGAGACCCCCAAGAGGTCCCCAAGAGGCCCCAAGAGACCCCCAGGGGCACCTGAGATGCTCCAAGAGGCCTTGGCGAGAATGCCAAATCATTGATTTTACGAAGGCGTTAGCCACATGTTGGCCTCTTGAGGGGAGGACTGATTAAGATGACTCGACGCGCGCCTGGGAGAGCCCAACATGACCTCCAAGATGGCTCAATATATCCCAAGATGTCTCAGAACGGCTTCCTCTGCGTGCTGCCCACTTCCCTGATCGAGGCAATTCCTCTGGGCATCGTTTCTGGATGGGCTGGTGGGGATTCGCGAAGCGTCAACAATCTCAACTTTGGCAACTGTTTCAAAGATGGAGGGCGGGTGGTTTTCAGAATGCGGCTCTCGCATTAGCGCCGCGCATACGCTTCTTAAACATTCGCAAGTTTCACGGGTTGAAGGCGGCTGGTTTTCGAAATGTGGCTCTCGACTTAGCGCCGCGCAGACTGGTTATACATATTTGCCAGAGTGTCACGGATTGAAAATGAGGCTCTCGCCTGATTGCCAGAGTGGCGGAGCGGTTGGGGTTTGAAAATGCGGCTCTCGCCTCAACGCCGCGCACACTCGGTATAACAATTCGCAAGAGTGTTACGGATTGGGGGCGGCTGGTTTTCAACATGTGGCTCTCCCTTTAGAGCCGCGCGCACATTCGTTGAACATGCAAGACTTTCACGGGTTCCCATGGTCAGCGTACCAGAAACAGAATTTTGGGAGGATTCCACGCTAGTGAGGGGGCAACAGTTACGTTAACACGCGGTGTTGAAGTCCCAGGAATGGCGTTCTGGATCGTCAAGACGCCACGGTCAGGTTGATCCGCGGCGTTGGAGTCCCGAGAATTGTGTTTTGGCTTGCTTCAGGGTCTGCAAATTGTTGTCTCACAGCGAGTTCCATCAGTGGAAATGAACCCTTGCAAGGGCCTATGAGGAGGGAGCTTGGAGGGAGGGTTTATTCCAACATCGTTGATGACTCTGGGGCTTACACTGGTCCTCCTCCTCCCCCTCCTCCTCCTCCTCCTCCTCTACCTCATCTGCCTGTTCCTCCCTCCTCCTGCTCCTCATCCTCCTCCTTCCTCCTCCCTCCCCCTCCCCTTCCCCCTCCTTCCCATTCTTTTCCGGTCACTCATCCCTCCTCCCCCGCTTGGACTATGACGCCTTCCCCAACCCTTTATTCAACTGCGTGCTCCTCCATATCTTAGATCACGGCAACTCGCCTGGGCATAGTTTCTGGATGGGCTGGTGGGGGCTACGAGAAGCGTTTAGAATATGAACGCTACTCTCCTCTCCCCCTTGAAGATTACCAGGGGGTGGAACGATCCCCCCCGCGTACCGCGCGTATCTTCACACACAAGATTTCAAGCATTGCAATGTCCTATGTATCTATCCGAATGCTTCAGGTGTTTCTAAGCTTAACAACCGCTGCGGCGCGGGCCGCATTTTAAGATTGGCGCGTGGCTCCTATCGCCCCAGCGCGGGCCACTTTTCTGGATCCGCATGCTTCTTCGTCGTTGTCGTCCCGCTCCGTTTTTCTTCCCCTCCTTCCCCTGGTCATCCTGCTACTGCCGCCTTTCCAACTCCAGCTGCTGCTGCTGCTGCTGTTCCTCCTCGTCCCCCTCCGTCCGTATTATCTATTCCTTCGTCCTGTCCTGATCATCCTGATTATCCTCCTGCTCATTCGCCGCCTCTTCCTCCAATGTGCGCAGCTCGCCTTTTCCGACTGCGCATGACACGATGGGGTCGTTTTCGGAGCCCCAGGTCCGTAGTGACACGTGCCGGCGGAGAGAAACCAAATCAGCGCCATGGCAAGGGATGGGTGGGAGAGGTGGTCAGATAGGGCGCGAGCGCGCCCAGCTTGCCCTCCCCCATCGCTTTCCCCCCCCCTCCTGCAGCCTCCCCCTCGTCAACGTGGAGGGGGAGGAGGACGAGGAAGCGCCCCACCTCCCGCCCCGCCAGCCCCCTCACGAACCAGGTGCGCGAGCGCGCGGCCCACTGCGCGTGGGCCCCCGTCAAGCACCGGCTGCGGCGGGGAAGACCATGGCCTCCCCCACTCCTCCCCTCTGCAGCGAAGGGGCGGAAGGGGCACAAAGAAAAACAAGACATGCGTTCGACGTTCCAAGTTTTCGGTCCAGTTCGTCGGGTCTCGGCGGTTTCCCAAGCTCGGGGCGCTTCTCGGCACCTGCGCCTCGTCGAGAGTTTTACGGGGGTGCCCAGATCGGCCCAATCGGCCTCCTGAGACCCGAGTTCTCTCCCAGCACCGAGCGACGAGGATCAAGTCGGCTCAGGTCGGAGAGGGGGTGCGAAGGAGAGAAGTTGGCGGCGCGCACAAAGTGGTGGGAGAGCTTCCTAGAAGGAGGCTGCTTCGTAGAAGGCGCCGGCCTTACATGTAGATGAGGCCCGCGCCTTCTAAGATGTTTCTAAGAAGCCCTCCCCCCTCCCCCCACCCCCCTCTGCTCGTGGCCGAAGAAGGCAGCCGGCCAAACGGCGACACCAAGCTAGAAAGCCGACCAAAACAGACAGCGGGAGCGAAACCCCGACCGAGACCGACAGGGCGCAGGCAGCCCAGCGAGGCGCAGCGGCACGGCAGCGACATAACTCAAGGGGCCCTGGGACACACACGCACACACATATATATATAATATATATATATATATATATATATATATGCTAACCCCACTCCCTGTTTTTAGCGCTCCGCCAGGAGTCGCTTTGGTCAGGGCCGAGCCCCCCCCGACAGACCTCCCCAGGAGGAGGGCCAAGCATGCTCCCCCCCCCAAGCTGGCGAGCACCAACCAGGAGGAACACGCTTTGGCACCTCGGGAGGCACAAGGCCGTCCCCCCCTGGGAGAGCCTGTCGGGGGCGAGGTTCTGGCTCAAGGCGGATCCCGAGGGGCTCGAGGCACCGAGGACCGCCAGACACACCAGCCTCGCAAGAGGCCACGCCGATCGTTGTCGGGCGGGCCAAAGCGACTACGGGTTTAAACGTGGTTTAAACGGCGAGCGCTTCCTGGGGTCTGGGAGCCGCATAGGCCCCCTTTAAAGGATACCATATGCTAACCCCACTCCCTGTTTTTTGCGCTCCGCCAGGAGTCGCTTTGGTCAGGGCCGAGCCCCCCCCGACAGACCTCCCCAGGAGGAGGGCCAAGCATGCTCCCCCCCCCCAAGCTGGCGAGCACCAGCCAGGAGGAGCACGCTTGGGCACCTCGGGAGGCACAAGGCCGCCCCCCCCCCCCCCCCTGACCCTAAACTGGCTGTGCAGCGAACTCCACCACCGTGACCCGAGACCCTCACCCCATCGAATGTATTGATGAAAATGGGAACAGAGAGGGACGATAAGGGAGGGCAGAAAACGAGCGGCGTGTTTACCTCACTTGGCTTGCCAGGTGTAGGCAAGCGGCGCGCTGGTCTGGCAGCAGCGCGAGCGTCGTCGCCTCGGCGACGGCGTCCTGGACGCACAGGCGCGCCGTCCGCACACTGGCCCAGCGCCCTCGGAGCAGCGTGGTCTCCATGGACCCGTGCGAGCGGAAGCCGGCGCTGGCACCACCTCGCCTCCAGCTGTAGAGGGTGAGCCTCTGGTCCTCCAGCTGGAGGCACCAGCGGATCTCCGCGAACACTCGTTAGAAGGCCGCGGGCGGCATGCCAATGGCTGGCTGCTCGCACCGGCTGGCAGTCCCTGCCAGCTCGCGTGCCTTCAGCAGCAGCGCCACTGCCGTCTGCGAGCGCACCGTGACGGACTCTCCCGCTCCCGTCTGGTGCTGGCTCTTGGTATCGCGCAGCCTGGTCATGGCTGAACCTGAATTCTCATAAGTAGTGATGTCGTGCCAACGCAGCGCCATGATCTCCCCCGTCCTGGGGTACGTGTCATAGGCTGCCAGCAGGATGGCGGCGGCGGCTGGGAATCCAGCCGCGAGAAAGCCGCTGGAGAACGCAAGTGCGATGAGCGGTGCGATTGGACGCGCACGCCCTGCCGGCCCAGCACGCTGCCACGTGCGAGCCAGGCGCCAACTCTCTCGGAGTCGACCGCGGAACGGAGGGAAGTGGTGGCACATACCTGCGATGGCACAGTTGACGTCGAGCAGGGACCCGCCTGCGGCCAAGCGCCCTTCAATGTAGTCAACCAGGCCCATGTCCGCTTGCACTGCAGATTGGACCTCACGCTTCTGCTCGACCCACCAGTCAAAGACGCTGCCAACCGCCTCCTGGTAGCGCTTCCGCGCGAGAGGAGTGGCCGCCAGCTCTCGCAGGGGCCTGTTGCGGGCGGCCGTCCTTCGCGCCAGAGCCTTCGCTGCCACTCTCCTCACCTTGGCCGCTGCGCGCCCCGGTCCACCGGGAGGGGGCGTCCGCGGGCATGTCGTCCGTGTCGCAGTAGCCGTACATCGGGTAGCAGCTGGTCGCGAGCGTGAGCGCACTGAGGCGCCTGATCCCTGGCTGGGGCCGCCAGGCGCTTGACCTGCACTTCGAGCAGACTGCTGCCACCGCTTGGGCATCGAGAAGATGCAGGTAGCGGCAGCCGTGCTTCGCCACGTCTCTGCAGCGCCCCTTGGCTCCAGCCACTGCGGCCTCCAGCTCCAACTCGGAGATGTGAGCTGGTCGCTGCCACCTGAAACTCTTGGCAATGCGCCAAGCCCACAGCGACGTCCGAAGAGCCGACCTTGGCCACGCCCGAGCTCGGCACGGGGCACCACAGTCAAGTCTGACGTCCGTGCCACCCCGATCGGCCACGCGCAAGAAGTCGACGATGAGCCCCCGCTCAGCGGTAGCGTGCCTGTAGCCAGGAGTCTTGAAATCGGCGTCGATGTTCCAGTTGGGCTCCCGCTCGCCGGCTTGCAAACACAGTTCGGCGGGAAGCGGAGCGGACAAAGCCCCAATTTGAGCCAGCCAGCTGCCGAAAAGGAGCATGACGCACTGGACACAGAACGTATTACCGACAAGGCATTCCATGACGATGTCTCTTTCTGCCGAGAGGACGCTGTCCTTGACGGCTGCTTCAAAGTACCGCCTATCAAACCGCATGAGAACACCCCGCTCCTCAGCGACAGGGAGCCTACCTTGCGCTCGATCGGCGCTCCACAGCAGCACGGCATCCTCATAATTGTTGACTTGATAGCGGTGCTGATCTGCGGCCCAGCGCGCCAGCGCAGTGGGACTGGCACGCTCCAGGCCGACAGGCCTCAGCGGCGGGCGTCGCCGTGGTACTGGCCTGGTGGAGCAAGGAAGGTCCACCTCAGGGTCGTCCAGCCTCCAAATGGCAGTGGCCAAAGGTCAGCAGCGGCGCGCTCCACGCTGACCTCAACCTTGTTATACTGACCGATGCCCTGGCTCCTCACCTCGATGCTCGTGCCGTGCGGAAGGTGACTGCAGGCGGGCCAGAAGCACCAGAAAAGACGGGGCCTGCGCACTCTGGTGAAGTCCTTCGCCTCTAACAGCAACGGCGCGACGCCCAGCGCCTGCGAGAACTGGCCCCTCGCCTCGGCGCCCATGCTGAATACATTCTCGACGAACCAGTCGACGCGCGTGCCGAACGCGCGTTTGGAAGCTTCGATGAGGGCAGGGACCTTCCAGAATAACTTGCCCCTGTCCCCTTCCAGGCACTTGCCCACCGCGTTGAGGGTGGAGAGACCCTGGCACGGACTCCCTGCAGTAATGAAGACCCAGTCGGCGTCGCGCCTGAACCCCTCCAGCATGCGGGTGAAGCGCTCAAGGTCCAAGGCCTCGATGTTGCCCAGCTCAATGACACCCGGCCACCGCCGCCGCACCAGCCGTCGCGCTGCCGGCTCTACCTCCGAGCAGAGGTGGGCGGCCGCGCTCATGGGCAAGGGATGCGCGGCCACGGCAGCGGCAGCAGCCCCGGCGAACAACTCCACTAAGATGACGCGCGGCCGCCATCGTATCATCTGAGGCGCAGCGAAGGTGGCGTGCACGGCTTCCTCGCACAGTCCTCCTTCGCCTGTGGCGGCCTGCACTCCCCGAGCGGTGAGGCCAGCGGCATAGCAGATGCCGCCCGCCTGCTTGCTCGCATCCGTCGCTATCACCCCCGCGTCGATCTTGGCCCGCAAGCCGGTGAAAGCTAGGGGGGGGGGCCATGCAGAAGACCAGGAGCTCGCCGCACATGACAAAGGGCACAGCTTGCGGATACCGCCACTGCCCAGCCGCCCAGCACTCGTTCAGGAACCTCATGGACGGCCGGCGGAACTCCGCCACGCGCACACAGCGGCCCAGCACCGCAAGCATCGCCTTGACCGTGACCTGAGGCTGGCCCATCACCCACATCACGAGCGCTAAGAGCAGGAGCTGCTTCTCAACTGTGACTCCGACTCGGCCGACCATGCCGTCTAGCCCAGCACCCATGCGCTCCAGGACGAGCTCGCGGTGCTTGGCCTTGCCTTCAGCAACTTGGATGCCGCTCCTCTGGTTGGGGGCTCGCTGCTCAGCCTGGACCTCGCTAAGCGTGCCGGCCAGCTCATCCAGGCGGCTACTCTGGACGATCTCCCCGTGGTCCCAGTCGTCGATGTAATACTGCACCCAGGCTTGCTCCAGCTCTTCGCTCTCAGGGGCAACGGGCGGTCCTTCCTCTACTCAGCTTGGGGCGGGATCCCTGCCGCAAGTGGCTTCAGCCCAAAGCCGAGCCGCCGATGGCAGTGCTGGAAGACTGTGACAGCACTGATCCAGCCCATCGGGATGACACGCAAAGCGATGTGCGTCTTCCCTGCCCCGTTGACCCCGATGAGCTCGTTGGGGATCGCCTCAGCTAGGGCCATGTAGGGCTGCCACGCCTCGGGCAACTCGCAGCAATACAATGCTGACGCCTGAGCGTCGGATGACCACAGCAGCACATGTCCCTCAGGAAGTGGAATCGAGACCCACGACGGCGAGGCGCTGAGGGTCCCAATGTCATCCCGCATCGTCCGCTGGTAGCTGTTAGCAGGGACCATGTTGATGATGAGCCGCTGCACCACATCATGACCAAAAGTGGGAGTTCCTCCCTTGGCGACCCCGAAAGCACCTGCTAGCACTTTCCTGTTGCCCACCTTGAAGATCCGGTCATCGGCGATGGGCGCCGCGAGGCCTAACTCCACCAGCTTGGCGCCAATGCGATGCCACTCCGCCTTCGAGCTAGCCTGGATGGCCGCCCGCGGGACCTCCTATGGCCACTCGGCCTTGGGCAGCAGTGCCAACGTGGGATCAGCCAGCCACCCAGCCACACGCTCGTCGGCGATGTCCAGCGCACGCACTGAAGCAGCAGCGCCTCTCGGCGGAAGGACTGGCATGACTACTCCCAACGTGAGCGGCAGGACCCGCGATACCTCCTCGCCTCCGCACGTGACATCACGTGCAGCAACGACCTCATGCCAGTCAGGAACCTGGAAGTCCTTCGCGGAGTCTGGGGCGAAGTACTTGGCAGACTTGCGAATGACGCGCATCAAGCTCTCCTGCGCAGCCGTAAGAGGACCAGTGGGGACTGGGCTGCCCTTGAGCGTGCCCAGCATATTGGTGGTTCAGGGAGTGCACGACCAGCATTGCCCAGCCCACAGCGATTGCAGCATCCAGGCCAGTCTCGGGGACCGTACCATGGTCCAACCATTCTGCACGGCACCTCATAAACCCAGGAGCGTCAGGGATGGGAAGCGGCAGCACTTCGCGCATCCGCGCGCGGCGCGCTCGCTGCACTGTTGGAGCGCTACGAACAAACCTCCCGACATCTCCTGGAGCACCGTGTACCGCCTCGTAGAACATCATGACTAGCTCGAACCGCGGTCGCCCTCCTGGCCCCCCTGCACTGGCGAGTAGCTTCCTCCAGCGGCGGCTCTTCAAAGGTCCTCGCAGGCGCTGCGCCTCGCGTGTGCCCGCCGCACCTGCATGGCCGCCAGCAGCAGCTGCCGGGCTCTGGCCTGCCTGGCCGGGGCTCAGCGCCTCTCCGGGGCCCGAGGCTGCCTCGCCACCTTGGTCCGGGTTGCGCCGCGCCCGCGGCCTGGAGCTGCTCCTCGTCCACGACCTGCTGCCGCTGCTCCTCCTGGCCCGCTCCGGCAAGCCATCTTCGAGACGACCAGGCGCGACTTCCAGTCGCGTCGACTCTCGTCGGGGCGGCGGGGGTTTGCAACCTTCGACTCCTTCCAGGTGAGCTGAGGACGAGGGTCCGCTGGCGCGCTGTCGGGACTCCCGTCCGCAATGGCTGGCAGCTCCCCAGACCTCCTGGAGTCGTGTGTGTGTTTTTTTTTTTTTTTTTTTTTTTTTTTTTTTTTGTTCAGGGCGCTCGTTTTAGTGGATGTTTTTGCGATGTCTTGATTTTTTGGTTCATGTTTCGTTGTCTTGATTTTTTGTTCATTGACCGCGCCTTGCCAACCCTTGACAGCCCTTGACAACCCTTGATTAGTCTTGACAACCCTGACAGCCTTGGATAACCCTTGACAGAGCTTGACAACAGCCTTGACAATCGACAGCCCTTGACAAGCCTTGAGAATCTAGATCTGACCCTTGACAAGCCTTGACAACTACGACAGCCCTTGATAAGACCTGTAAAGGCCAGCACGGCGCATCGATATCGACGCTTCGAGCAATATTGCGGAAAAGAGAATCCATGGATTCCCGATAGAGAATCTGCATGTAGATTCCCGCTGGGGGAACCCATAGATTCCCGCAGCGTAACCTATGGGAACCCATAGATTCCCGCGGGGGAACCCATGGATTCCCGCGCGAGCGGGCGACCGCGCGCGCGGTGAAGTTCTATATTGTCCACGCTCGGAAAGTCGCCATCTGAGTCTTGATACCTGAAAATGAAAGCTTAATTACGGTGGCCGAGCGGATTTCGGGTGACCCGCGCGCGCGCGGGCCACCCGCGCGCACGGGCGACCATGGCCGCGCGCGTTGGGTCACCCGCGCGCGCGCGCGCTGGAGTTCTGCATTGACCACAATAGAACAGTTGACATGTAATTCCAAAAACTAAATCCAAAAATTTCTGGGGCTCTTTGAGGAGACCGACGGTGGCACGCGTCGCCCGCGCGGGCGGGTGCCATGATCACCCGCGCGCGCGCGCGCGCGCGTTGGACTTCAGCATTGCCCACAGGAAAAAAATGCATGTGACCCAAAAAACTGAATTCAAAATTTCTGGGGCTTTTGAAGGGGGCCGACGGTGACGCGCGTCACCGCCGCGCGCGGGTGACCATGGTCACACGCGCGCGCGCGCTGGATCGAGTTCTGCATGGTCCACGGCACAAAAAATCGACATGGAACTCCAATAACTGAATTCCAAATTGCGGTGGCCCTTTAAAGGGGCCGACGGTGACACGTGTCAACCCGCGCGCGCGCGCGCGTTGGAGTTCTGCATTGTCCACGATAGAACAGCCGACATGTAATTCCAAAAACTGGATTCAACATTTCTGGGGCTCTTCAAGGAGGCCGACGGTGACGCGCGTCACCCGCGCGCGCGGGCCACCAGCGCGCGCGCGCGCGTTGGAGTTCTGCGTTGTCCACGACCGAAAAAGCGGACATGTAACATTCTGTGGCTCTTTAAGGAGGCCGACGGACGCGCCGACTTTTCTACCGTGGGCAAGATAGATCTCCAACGCGCGCGCGCCCGGTGAAGTTCTATATCGCCCTCAATCGAAAAGTCGCCATGTTGGCCCGGGAACTGCGACCGGGTGGATTACTTTGGAAGTTATCGACGTGCGCGGGATTTCTCCGCATACCCAAGCGAACCCTTAGCGACGTGCGCGGGTGACACGTGTCACCCGCCCGTCGCGTGGATGTCCACCTTGTCCAGTGGCGGTGCGCAACGCAAAAAACTCCTCCTCCCCCTCCCCCGAGGGCCCCCTCCCTCCTCCTCTCCTCCCCCCCCCCCCCTCCTCGGAAAGGGGGGGGGGGGGGGGGGCAGCGGGGTGGGCGGGGGGGGGTGAGAAGGTGGGGGGGGGAGGGGGGGGGGGGGGGGGGAGAGTGGGGGGGGAGACGACGACGAGGGCGAGGAGCAGGAGGGAAAGAAGAGAGGAGGGAGGAGGGGGGCAAGGAAAGCGGGGGGGCGGCGCCAGCGCTCGCGCGCGGCGCCCTGCTTCCCAGACATCCGACGTCTCGATTTCTTCGAAATGCGGGCCCCCGACCTCCCGACCACATCCCTGGGGCCGGCTTTTCATCCCGAGCCGTTGTTCGACGGCCCCGAGGCCCGTCGACGAGGGCCCCGAACGGCCGAAAACGACAAAAACCTCAGTCTCGTTTGTTCTTGTTTCTCGAAGTGCCCGATGTCTGGGTTGCCCCCGCGCGAGCGCGCGGGAGCGCTCAGGCCCAAGGCCCCGGCGCCGCGCCCGCGCGCGAGGCGCCGAGCCGCGCGGGCGCAGGCTTGGCGGGCTTCGAGGAGGAGGGGGAGGAGGGGGAGGAGAGGAGGAGGAGGAGGGGAGGAGGAGGAGGAGGAGGAGAAGGAGGAGGGAGGGGGAGGAGGAGAGGAGGAGGAGGAGGAGGAGGAGGGAGGAGGAGGAGGAGGCGGCGGAGGCAAAGGAAGGAGGTGGAGGAGGCGGGAAGGAGGAGGGAGGGGGAGGAGGAGGAGGAAAAAGAGGAGGAGGGGAACGCTCCTGGCAGGCTGCGCACGCGCCGCCAAGCACGATTGGCCTCGTGCACGCCGCCACGGCGGCGCGGCATGTGGTTTGTGCACTTGGACTTTGCGGCAGGATCTTTAGATTTTTGATATGATATTATGCCCCCTCATTTTGTTTTGCCAGCCCCCCCCCCCCCCCCAAGCATTGCGGCCCCCCTGCGCGCGCGCGGGGGGCGCTGGACCACGCGAAAAAAAAACGGATGGGGGGGGGGGCGCGGTGGAGGAGCGCGAGGAGGAGGGGAGGAGGACGGAGGAGGCAGAAGGGAGGAGGGGGGGGCAGAGGAGGAGGAGGAGACCGAGGAGAAAAGAGGAAGAGGAAGAGCAGGGGGAAGGGAATTCTTCAGGGGGGCAGGGGCCCTCCCAGCCAGGCGCCCACGGGAAGCTTCCGGCACGAGAAGACTGCGGACATCGAGGCGAGCACCCCGTCGCAGGCGGGCCGGGGACAAAGGGGCAATATAGATCGAGAGAGGAGGGGGGCGGGAACTCGGAGGAGGGAGGGGCCCGACGGGGGCGAGGATTCGATATAGGAAGGAAGAGGAGGGGATGGGAGGGGAGAGGGGGGAGGAAACGGGACGGAGGGGGAGGGAAGGGACGGGGGGGGGAGGGCCTTCAGGAGGCGGGAAGAGGGAACGGGAAAGTGGAGAGACGGAGAGGAGGATAGGGGGAGGACGAGGAGGGGGAGAGGAGATTGCGCGAGGCCCCTTCGGAACTCAGGGCCCTCGTAAGCGCCCTGGGCGTCTGCGGCGAAACGCGAGCGCCTCCTCCTCCTCCTCCTCCTCCTCCTCCTCCTCCTGCCCCGCTTCCTCCGCCCCCTTTTCCCTCCTCCTGGGGGCGCCGGCGCTTCGCCGCAGGCGCCCGCCCCGCCGTCGCCGACCAGCGAGGACGAGCGCGACTACCAGAGGGTTTTGACCACGATGATTTCTCAGGTGAGGGTTAGGGCGAAGATTGAGGATGAGGATTCGGAATTCTGAGGCCTTCAGGGCGAGTAAGAGGATTAGGATGACGGTGGTGATGGTGATGATTGCGACGACGACGACGACGGCGATGATGGCGACGCTGCTGACGATGGCGATGACGAGGATGATGACGATGAGGAGGCTGAGGACGGCGAGCAAGGAGGAGGAGGGGCAGCAGCAGCAGGAACAGGAGGAGCAGCAGGAGGATTAGGAGGACGAGGAGCCCGCCAGGTGTTGTGGGAGCAGTGGGTCTCCGACTGGCACTTGTTCGAAGGCGCCCAGGATGAGGGGAGTGATAGGGATGAGGACGGAGAGGGGGATGAGGAAGCACATGAGGATGAGGGCGATAATGAGAGAAGGAGAACGGACTGAGGATGAGGATGAGGATGAGGACGAGGATGAGGGCGAGGACGAGGATGATGATGAGGGCGAGGATGAGGAACCAAATGGGGATAAGGACGAGGATGAGGATGAGGACGAGGATGAGGAGGAGGACGAGGATGCGAGAGGATGAGGACGAGAATGAGGATGAGGAACCAAATGAGGGCGAGGATGAGGATGGGGAACCTAATGAGGATGATCACGAGGAGGAGGACGAGGAGGAGGACTCAGCCTCGGCAGGCGATGAGCGCCCCGACTTCAGCTACTCTGTGCGGAACTTCGGCGACATGCATCGGCCAGAAGAGATGGGGGCGACCGAGCGGCCAGGAGAGAGGGCGAGGGAGACGGTGACGACGACGGTGGCTTCGACGATACGGGTGACGACGATGATGATGAGAATGATAATGATGATAAGGATAATGGTGATGGTGATGGTAATGGTCAGGATAAGGATAAGGACGAGGATGGCGATGCTGATGATGATGCTGATGATGATGCTGCTGATGATGATGATGATGCGTATGGTGCTGCTGATGATGGTGATGGTGGTGGCGGTGGCGGCGATGGCGATGGCGATGATGATGACGACGACGACGGATGGGGGGGGGGGAGGAGAAGGAGGAGGAGGAGGAGGAGGAGGAGGGGGAGGAGGAGGCGGATGCTCTCATCATCGTAGGTCGCGATTCCCCACTCCTCCCCCTCGTCCTCCTCCTCCCTCCATCCTCCCCAATCTCCTCCAACATTCCTCTCCTCCTCTCCCCCTCTCCTCCCCCCCCCCCGCCCCCTAATCCGTCCTCCAGTCGCACCGCCCCCATCCGCCCCGCCCTCATCTGCATGAAGCTCTTCGGAGCTTGGACACCATCGGGAGGCGGGAAAGAGGTTCAAACAATAGCAGATGCAGGCTTCTGCCTAGAGCGGGAGGGGGGGAGAGGGGGGGGGGGAGAAG